TGATGTATCAACGCTTACAGCAAGCTTGCCAAAGGTTGAACTGGAACTTGAAAGAAAGCAAGGACCACATGAGTTAAATTGGAGAAGAAGTGGGGTAGGCCATGGTGGTCTTCTCTCTCACAAAAGGGCTATGCATATGGAGATCACTCTATCTTTCTGGTGCGCTACTCGCAGTTATCAAACACACCTTTAGTATTTCTTCATATCCGAAACTTCATTTCCATCCACTGTTTGCAATTTTACGTCATCTCGGCCTTAATGCCAACAAGTATGCATCACAGAGACATGCTCAACACATTGAGACTTAATTTTGAATCGCAGGACATAATCCAAATTGATATATATGAATTTCGTTTGTTACTTACTTTAACTAGATCATTATGGATAGAGGGCCCAAAGAATTCTTCCACATACTTCTTGACATTGTGAACTTTTTGTCACAAATCATGAAATTTTTGAAAAAAGGCTTGTCTATAGTTTTTCTATTTGGGTAGATCAATGGGAATGTATCTCAAGACATCAAGTTATGACACCCTGCACCTTGACTACCTATGTCTTGAGCCTATTCTTAGGCTTGTGTATAGTTCATTGGCAGCAACTTATCCTTCATTCAGAACTCCCATCTTCTCCTAAAATGAAATCTTTTGCTTTCCGTTTCATTCTTGCATGATTCAGACCTCATCCTAGTAACCCAAAACATAAGCATGAAGCAGTGTGCCTACTAATTTGACATTCTTTTGATCAATAATCTCTTTCCGTTCAAATAACTTCCACATGGCACTAAGCCAATCAAGAAAATCCTGCGGACAAAAGACAACCTTGAAAATCAGGAACATGAACCTTAAATTCTAAAGTCACGATTTTGTTGGAGGGCTCAAACCATACCATCTTCAATTGCTAAATTTTCCCGCTCTTCAATCGGAGCACAGTTGTGGTTTCTAATGAATACCTCGATTAATCCTCTGATTTGCTATCCTAGGGGATTTGGGTCTCTTTTCAATCAAAGTGTGGTGTTAATTCACGTAACTCTTCATCTATCCACCAGTTAGCCACTAAAGAACAATGACCTCTACTTGGTTGTATATTCGAATCAGTGTTCAAAAGTTTCCAAGATATAGGATTGTCTTCGATCCCAAACTCAGGCAAATTAGTCAAACTGTAATGGAAAAACAAAGGTATTAAGCTGTGGCTCTGGCATTTCTTTAACAAAATGATTACATCAGAATTAATACTCCCCCCCCCCAACACACTTAATTAAATAGATAATTTATACTCTCCCCCTCCCCCCCTCAATTTTTAACTCTGAAGCCGGTTAGAATGCAACTATAAACATTACATTATAGCACCCACCACCTACGCTATCTCTGTTCGAGTCTGATATGTGAACAATACCTTTTCTGAACTTCGGAAATGATTTGAGTTCTTGATGTTCAAGTCATGGCTCATAGGGAAAGTGTTATGTAAAGTACTCAAAATTTGAGGATTTCCACAGCTTTAAAAGCCTCAAAACATTGACTGAATCTAAATATACTTGAGGGCCAGTTTGGATGTCAAAGAAAAAAATATTCACAGCAAAAAAAATGCAAGTTTGTTCCACCTCAATTGAAAAACATTCTCGTCTTATTTTATTATGTTCGTAAACCGTTTGGATGTCTAATTTCATTGATTTGTCAAAAAAAAACCCTCTACGCCATCTTGGTTCCCATCTTCTGAACACCTTCGATGCTGAGCTTCTGAAATCCTAATCTGAGAATGCTTTCTTCAATGAATTCCCTTCTCAAGCTACTAAAAGCATGGCAACACTCGTTCCGATAGCCGGAAGAGACCATCCCATTTACAATTTCATGGAGCTTTGAGACCACTGGACCAAACATCAATGATAAAATTATAACCCGTCTAGCTCATATTGAGCCTCGCTCTCTCCCCTGCTCAAGCTCATTCTCAATCTCTCTCTCTCTAACCCATGGAAACCATCTCTCTCTCTAACCCATTCAGACATTCTCTCTCTCGAACAGGGACGCCATGATGTAACCTATTGAAGCCACGTCTCTCTCTCAACTTGTGGAGGTGACAATGGTGGCTATGACTGTTTCCATATGACAATGCCCTAGACGATGCAGAGCTACTGGCCGTCATAGACTCAGCAGTTGTTTCACACTCCGCCTCTAAATCGAGCCAAACCAAAACCCTGGCTCTGATGGGCAATCCCACCAATTACCATAATCTTACTCCCAAAACCCACATTATACCTTCAATCCCATATCAATACCAAACGCCTGAGGCCAAAGGCTCAAGGAAATCTAGATTCAACTACACAGTGGAAGAAGATCGAAGAGAAGGTGAGGTGCTGCAGGAGCAGTCGATTCCTCATCGGCCTCACAAGATGAAGAGATCTGATGCCTATGGAGGGTTTCAGAGCCGGGGTCATTCAATGGAGGAACCCAAGTGATCGCACAGTAGCAGGGCTCTGTGATCTGCATTTCTAGAGAGGTTAGGGTTACCGGGAGGGGGAGGAGAGAGAAAGGGTGGGCACAAGGCTCACGTTTTGAACGGGCGACAGAAGACCGCACTTTCATCCAAAAAAATTAAGTCTGATTTAGAATTTTTTTTATCGTAAATTTTGCTTTCATAATGGATTATTTTTTATTTCAATTTAAAAATATTACAATTTTACATGATTGTCTAAACGGGTCAAATTTATTTTATAAAATTTTTAGATTGCAATCCAAAAATATTACAATTTTAGATCCATCCAAACTAACCTTAAAAGCATAAAAAAAAAAACCGTGATAGAGATCCAAATCTCATAGTTACACAAAAGCCATGCGTCAACATTTGGTTTTTCTCTCTCTCTCTTCTTTTTTTTGGCCACCTCTCCTTTTTTGTTGGTAGAATGAGCTTCAAACTCTTGACAATTTGGCATGAACACATTAGACAGGCACTTGTTAGAAGGTGCAGAATAAAAGATGGAACTCAAACAGCCAGAGACGGGGAATAGGGTTGAGGTCATGGTGGTAGCATCACCTAAACCTCAACTAACTGTTTAAGTTAACCTCAACTAACGGTTTAAGTTTTCATTCTCACTGACACATTCGAATACCATTGACTATTTCTAAAACAACTAGGGGCAACGAGGGGCATGTATTCCCTGTTGATCTACCCAAAAAAGAACAACTAGAGATTCTATTAGAGCTAAAGGTTATAAAAAACTCATTCTTCTAAGAAATGGTTAGAGAGGGTTTTGGCATTAACGCCTTGTGAGTGCAATGTTTGCAAAGCCCTCTCGCATCAAAACCATGTGAAGGCTACCTCCACCATCCATAAACCTTGATAAAAGATTAACAAAATTACACAGTAACCAAGGTTAATTTTAAAATGGTCATGGACAAGTAGATTACCCTTATTGATTTAATGTGAGAGGGCTTCTCATACAAGCCAAAGATGATATGCACCCACCACGAGCATATAGTGGACTCACTGTATGCAGTTTCTAAAATGCCCAGGCCTTAATGAAAAAAGAAGTAAAGCCTCACCTCAAAATCTCATATGAATAACACTTTGGGCATGGAAAATCTTTATGATGACTTTAAAATCAATTCTACCATCGATTATGAAATTTGTAGATGAAAAAATAGCGCAAGTCTTGTAGATTTGTGAACACATGAAAATAGATGGTCTACATAATGTTTTATAATATACCATATTTTTAGAGTTTGAAATCTTAATTTTTTTTAATAGCCATAATGGTCAAGTCGAGATGATCGATTTTGAAAGTTTTCCAACATCAGAACTGCAATTTTCCATGAGTTTTGAGGTGAGGCTTTACTTATTTTAATAGCGCTGCAGCCCTATCAAAACACTATCAGGATTCATTCCCTAATGTAAAACCATATCTAGGATTATTATTAGGAGCCCAAATTCCGGGATATAACCTCATCATCATAGGAACCAACCTCGAATAAGTAAATAAAAATAGAAATGAATAAATAGTAAAAATCCATACCCACTCTATATTGCTTGGAATTAACACCTAAGACCCGACCACTTTTTGCAGGCGATCCACTTGGAATACTCGTATGGTGATTATAAAGTGGATCCCAAAATTCCTCATTGAGAAAATCCTCCCACAGGCCTTTTGACCGTGGGAGTAAATGTACAATGTGCTCCCACAGGACTTTGCTGTACGTGCTTCCCATGCAACACACTCTTATTCAACTTTGGCACAGGGCTTTGACTTGACAATGCGCTTTCAGTTTTCCATTCCATTTGAGTCTACATTGAAACAAAACCAGCATTGTAACTATAATCACCAGTTATTCATGTTCCTAAAGGCAGAGCATCTACACTGAAATTTAGTGATGAAAGCATGATGTATAGTTATATAACTTAGCTGGATTCGGAGTTTATCCATTCAAACATGTGTTGAGTACATTCACATCCTCTCAAGTACCAAAAGAAACTGAGATGATTCTGAATGTTTCAGAAATCTATGAAACAAAGTTTCAAAAGCATGGTATGAATCTGACTTCAGTTTTGTTCATCTTTTCCTGTATCTGATTACCATTACTCCCCCCTGCAATGGCTTCCAAGTGACCACCTTTGAAGTTCTTCTTCCCAAGGATTGAGTTTTGAAGGATAACAGGCTCTAGGCAGAGGTGTTCGAAGCGGTGGATGCCACAATTGACATCTAGAGTTTCATTTTCTCCAGCTCTCACGTTTAACCTTAAAAAAAAAAAAAAAAAAAACAAAAAAAAAGGACTTTCTGTTGAAGATTTCTGATCTCGCTGATCCAGTTCAATGGTAGATTCTCTTCTTCAACCCAAAAATACTTGGACATCGGTCAAACGTCTTAGAGATAGTTCTTACCAGGAGGGAATGAATTTGTTCAACAAGGTTATAATGTTACATGAATCATTTATATTTAAGTTACAGTAACGATACAAATATAACAACTCCTTTCAACCAACACCAGGTACTATGCATATTTAAAGAGCTCTTCATTAATATACAAGCTAACATTGTATCCCTTATTTGTATTCAGCTTTCTAAATTCATAACAAGCAGATCCCTCTACAGACTGAGAAGGAAAAATCCTTGTTACAAAGTACCACAGACACTAAAACAATACAAAAGAAGTGGGCATCACTTTCCACTTTCACCTGCTTGCCCATTCTGCAGTTCGGTTTTTCTAATGCCCTACCGTGTATAATTGTACATAACTCTGTCTTATTACAACTACAGCCCATCTTTAACACCCTGTAGATATGAACACATGCCTTTGATCTTTTCTGGACTCCCACTATGTAGCCCATTTCAGAGGTTTGATTTCCTCTACTACTCTAAAAATATGTACATACATTTCTTTAATTCCTTCGTTTGATAGCTCGAACACACAAGCATCTCCTTCTTCCAGGTTATTCTCAATGGAGAAATATTTCCAACCTCCAACAAGGGCACCCTCACTTACAGATTCCTTGTATCTGTAGATTGCCACCCAGTGTGCCCCAAAAGGGTTCCGGAGTGTGACATGTTGTGACCTTCTTGGGAAATATTTCCTTGAGAACCAAACTGGAATATGCTGCAAAATAGAATTAACCCAGTGTGATACACCTCAACAAGCAAGCAACATGGGAAGTGAAACATGATTCTTTCACCAATTCCCATACATCATTAAAGAGAATGCAGTTAACCACAACATAGTTCAGATTTGCATCACTTTAACATTTTTGCAAAATCCAGCTTATTTGCATCTAGCAAATCCATGAACATCTAACTAAATGAAAATCACATTATTTTTTTCTTTTTAAAATAAAGACGAGTGCAGAATCTAATAATTTATTACACCCATTCATATTTGTCAAGCTCGAATTCCAAAAATACATTTTTTTCTCTTTTCTTTTTGTGTGGGTCACATTGGTTCGAAAGAGAGATGTTTTTACCAAGACTTCTCTCACTGAAAATCAGGTGTCTCACCATTAACCCAAAGGCTTAGATGGACAAATGCATACAATTCAATTCATACAAGACCTATGAAAGTCCTTAAAGGGCATCTTGAGTCAATTTGTCAGCTATTATAGTGGAATAGTTAGAAGAGGATAGCCAATTCTTGGTTTCTACTGGGACTAAAAGATTTCTTTTTGCGTTTAGCTTTATAGCCCCAAAAGAATAATTCTAAACGATGCATTTCTTTTTTCAAAATTATCATTATTTTGTGCTTTGACAGTAGCATAATGATGCAAATGACTTCTTGCACATCTTCAGCTTGTTCTTGAAGTTGTTTTTTTACCTTTGACAATAATACAACAACTCAAATGATTTTTGACAATTGTTTAGAAGATTTTTTGCTTTGACAATCACACAATCGCTTCTGAACTATGGTTCCACCAATAAATTAGAAGTCTATGAAAACTATCCTTCAGTTTACATCTAGATGCTTATGGCTGCCGAAAAGCATCCATCTATGCAAGTGCTTACATGCATGCACCTACTCATCCTACTGCTAGAATAATGCATGGTATGCAACATCTAGGAAGCGGAAAGCACAAACACATCTTCGTGAAATCTAATGTATAAAGAATATGTTTTCAAGATCCTGCACCATATATGTATCAGTTTCTTAATATAGACAATTTTAGAAGGCTAAGTAAGTGTTGAGAACATTCAAATAGAGCCAGTTTTATACTTTAATAAGTAGTGTTCCAAGTTCAAATGGTCAGAATAACATTTGTTCCTTGTAAATGGTTTTATTGGAAATAAAATTTCTTGTGAGGCTGATTTTGAATTTTAAGATCTGCAAGAACAATGAGAAATAGTCTTTAGTAAACACTAAATACTGAACCAAACCTCCTTCCAGAGAATAATAATAACGACAATCGTAAATATTGATGATCATGATGATGACAATGCTGTGCAAATAAATGTTGTTGGGTTGTGCCAGCTTATCATAAGAAAAGAAATCATATTAGGTGGTTTCCTGCATGGCACACCTCCAAGGCTTTACATCAATTTTACATGTTTTTAATAGGAATCACAAGAAGAGATCTGTGACATACTTTTGCAAACAAATTTGTGCTAACAATGTCAAGTAGTTCTATTCTGCAAATTCTAGACAATTTATGCATAAGAAAATATCAGTATTAAAATTCAAATAAAACGGGGACTTGAGAAGGAAAACTTGCCAAATAAAATCCAGAATACACATTCGATCGTTTCATAATATGCGTGAAGAATGGCTTTCCCGATCTGAATGAACTCGCTGCTGCAAATGCCTTTTGTCTTTCTATCTCTGTCACTGGACGCCTTGCTGACACAACATTTGAATAGTTTCTAACACGAGAGCCCACTGATTTTTTTTTCTTCTGGGGAGACTTCTTTGTCTTCAAAACACTTGCATTTTTCCCTGCAAAATTTAAAGTACTGTAACAAGTATCCCAAATAAAACTCCACATGAATCACACTAATAGAACTTTGAAAGGAACTAACGCTTACTAGGAAGTTTGTCTTTCGAAATATAAGTAATAGGTGAACTGCTTTTAATTTTCAGTTTCTCTGAGTGTGTAATATGTAAAGCCTTTGGCTTTTCTTTCTTCTGGGAAGATATGGTTGTCTTTGAAACCTTTGCAAATTTCCCTGCATAACTTAATAAACTATATAAGAAGGCTAAATAAAACTGCAGTTGAAGAAAACCACTAAGGATATTTAAAGGTAATCACGCTTATCAGGAAGCCTGTTGTTGGAAACAAATGGAACACTAGTACGAGGGTCAATGTTCAATCCCTCTGAGCACCCAATATGCGAGTCCATAAGCTTTTCATTCTTTGGCATGTTTGACTTTGAAACCCCTACCTGTTTGCCTGCAGAACTTACAAAATTATAACTTGAACGGCAATCAAAACTTCTTAAGGTCAAATTAAAGGAACGTTTAAAGGGCACTCACCCTTATTAGGAGATCTGTGTTTGGTTCTAAAAGGAACACAGGAACCAATGTCAATGTCAAAGGCCACTAAGTGCCCCTGAATATCTGTAGTTGAATCTATATTGATGAATCCACCATCATCTTTATGATGAAATGTTTCTTCCACCTTAGTTCTATCACAGTCATCAGTCATGTCATAAGCTAATGGCTTCAAGGGCATGACGTTCCACTCTCTAGATTTCTTTCTCATGGTAACTTTGTGAGAGCCAAGCTGAGAGAGGACGGGATAGTCAACCAAATTCTGAGTTACTCCAATTTCAACAAGGCTTCTCTCACTTACAAAGTTTTGTACACTAAAAGGATCTTCCTTCTCACATCCAGTACTATCAAATATTTGAACAGTAAATTGCATATTGCCATCGTATCTAAAGACCAAAAAGTCTTCCATTTCCAAACAACAATCTCTCACAAATTCCTTCCAACCATCATCAAATAACATGCCACCAATGGTTTTTATCAATTGTACATGCCTAATTTTTCCATTTGGACCTTTTAGAATGGCATTTTCAGATGATTCATGTTCAATGTGCCTCTGAAAAGCTGGTGGGATCCACTGCCAAGCACACATTCATTTACCAGAAATAAGCATATCACCAAAGGGAAAAAGGAAGAACATCAAGGAATGTGAGAAAAATTGTACACCCACAATTTCATTCATATCCCCTACAAATAAATAAGGGATTGTATACAATGAGACTATTTACCTTTGGTATAGGGAGGTCACAATTACTTACAACAATCTGATGTAAAATCTGATAGCTTGGGTGTGTCACAAAGTTCAAGGAAATTTCTTTTGAAATTTGACCTTAGTCAACGAAATAAATGCAGCCACCCAATTTCACATCCAATGGTAAAGATTAATTGTGACCACCTGGTACCAAAGGTAAATGGTCTCATTGTATACTTTCCCAATAAATAAATAACTTTGGAACCTTTTTTAAGAAGAGAATACTTAAAAGTTAAAACTAATACAGTGGATGCCTAGATAGGGGTCATTCCCTACATGAGCCAAGTAGACTTTGAAAAGGTCCGTCCATACACCAGATTCATGTTCAAAGCCATCAATCTTGTGCTGGCACAGACACTTTGTACTATAGATCATCACAGTATTCACTTGATTCAGTTCTTTAGATCATATGTAACAGTAACATATATAGTCACAGAGAAGAATGTAAGAGCAGCAGGCTTCCATCGGCTTTCAATTCCCATTTACGCAATTTAAATTCCTTTTTCGCTAATGCAACATGAAATTCTATCTACAGGTACAATTTTCTAAAATTCCGTGTATCAAGTGACGTAAGTTTCCTTAATGCCATACATGAATGTTCTTTGTGGGTATTGCTGATTGCTGCTATCATGTAATAATTATTCATTCAATGTCTCTAGTTTAACTTTAGATGAAACACTACTAGCTAGTTCTGAGGTCATACTTTTGCTATTAATCATTTTGAACTACCTGATAAATAAGTAAAAGGAGAGAAGAAAATACAAGAGAGGGAGAGAAAGATGAAGAAATGCACATACAGTGAAAGGAGTGGTGCTAAATTTTTTTAACCTGCCATGCATCTGAAATAAGCTGTATGCTGTCCAATTAACAAAAATAAGAAAAGCTGCACCCATTCCAAAAACAATAACTCTGGAAACATAAACAATACAATAAACGTATAACTTAGTAGGTAAATGGGGTAAATGAGTAAAATATGAATTACAGGAAATCGATGCACACTAGAATTCAAAAAAGTATTGGTGTATCAAAGCTTTGGTTAAAACCAGCAATTTGGAACTCAAATTAGACAAAAGGAAGAGATATGGATGAGGATCACTGATTTTCATGAGCAAAACAGCAGATGATCTCTATATGCAGGGCCATGGAATACCTGTCATATGAAGATGAAATGTACCCAAAGGATACCGTTACTTGTTGAAGGCATCGAACAATATTCAGCTATGGTATTTAACCTATACAGAGAGTATCTCACCGTTTGCGTTGTCAAGCTTGAAAAACACTAGTAGGTCTTGGGTTGAATTGATGATAACAGTAAGTGCATTCCTTTGCAAAGAAAATACATGGTTTATGAGTTCTTTCATGATACTTTTGAACCCAACAGTAGCAGGATGCTGAAACTAAATCACCTTTGTATTGAGAAACTCTCTACTTTACATTTCTACTTAAGTTTTGAGTGGAAATGGTCCAATATTTTACATGTAAAACTTACTGAGCATCCTTTAATTTTTGAGAGACCACATTTAATGTACTATTTACATTACCTGCATTTAAAATGCACCGTCCAAAGCATATCTGAGTTTTTCAAATTTCTTTTGCACTTGCCACATAAGGGATTTGGTCCAAGACATAAATGCAATTTTTTTATTTATTTTTTTGGGTAATTCAGTGGGGAAGACAGGCCCCTGCCTGTTTTTTTCAATAGATTAGGGAGTTACATTTTGAAGGTGTTAATTTGGGATGTTAGTGGTAGGAATGGATACCACGATGTGGTAACTGGGTGTGGGGATGGAACCACCACGACCCACACTAAATACTCACTCACAAAGCCAAGCCAGACATGCAAAATATATCTAGAACAGCCATTTTGATCAGTATGGTTTAGAGAAGTACAACACATGAGCTTAATAACGACTCTTCTAGGGATAAAATACACACCAAGATTGTCTTAATAGGAATAAGAACCTAACTCAAGAAAACATCTGCATTCCTCAAACATCAAATTATAAGGCTTGCCACCTCACAATTCATGGAATGGGCATGTCTCAGAATGTTAAAGATGCAAAACTAGATATACTCCACAAAGTGAGACAATGTCAATCTAGATGACTTGTTGAAGGGAGAGAAGGCACAGATCGGATACTATACAGACTCCTTATGGCCCTGTGCAGTTGAAAAATGATCAAGGGTCAGGGTAAAGGCATTCAAATCATGCATTGAACAAAACCACTGCATTGGCATGAAGCCAATGAATGTAGTCACAATAACTGCTAAACATGCTATGGATTTCCAAAATGATCCAACTAACAACTAGATACTGGTTTGTATACTTTTTTTATTTTTTTTCTCGTAAAAGGAAAAACAAAAACATTGTTATCTAGATGCTAAACTGCAGAGAAAATCAACAACTAGAAACCAAGCAACTCTTCAGCCTAGAACACCTTCATAGGTTGCTGGGCCGGGTGTGCCCAAGCTCTCCCAAATTTTATAGCTTAGCCTGGGCTTGGCTTGGGTCTGAATGTTTCAAAACGTGTGAGGATTGATGCCCCTGCCTGTATGAAATTGGGTGGATGATGCATCTGTAAATCTAGAAGGAGCTTGGAAACAAAGTTAAATTATTATCCAAAGAAATTTCTAGGAAACTTCTTTAGAAAGATCCAAGAAATATATTGATGACTTCTCTCTAAAAATATCTTTCAAATCAATAGCAAGGATTGTATCTAAGGAATCAATGGCCAAGATTGGCAACATTTGGGCTATCAAAATTAGCTCATAAATACCCCCAAAGGGGACCATTCTAGTAGCTTAGAGTTGAGACTTGCCTTGAGTCCTATTGGCAAGTGAGGAACTCCTCTTTAAGTGCTGAGTAATTTCAACTAGAGGTTGAGAGATTCCCTCCTTGTTTCATATGAGAGGGTTTGAAGGAGGTAGACCTTTTAAATAAGTGCATTTGCAACCTTGTTCATAGCTCCCCACTTACAGATAGTGAAGGTAAACTCTTGAAGATACGTTGTCCATTTTGCATGTCGAGAATTCAACTTCTTTTATGAGTTTAGTAACTTTGCACTTCCTAAGGATTAAAAGACCTTCCTTAGGTGTTCCTTATGGGATTCTTCATTTTTGCTATAGATCAAAATGCCATCAGAGTATACAACCACAAAATTTTCCCATAAATGGGTGCATGACCTATACCATTAGCCTCATAAAAGTGTTGGGAGCATTTGACAGCCCGAATGGTATTACCGGCCCACTCATAAAGTCCATCGTTTGTTGTAAGATTGTCTTCCACTCATCTTCGGGGCGGATACAAATTTAATGGTATCCGCTACAAGATCTACTTTTGAGAAAATTGTTGAACCAGCTAGCTCATCAAGCATATCATCAAGCTGTGGAATTGGAAACCTATGTTTGACAATGACCTTGTTGACGACATGGCTGTCTATGCACATCCTCCAAGACCCATCTTTCTTTAGTGTAAGCAGGGTAGGAACAACGAGAGGACTTATACTTTCTTAAATAAATCCCTTGCTAAGGAGTTCATTAACGTTCTTCTGAAGCTCTTGATGCTCGGCAAGACTCATTTGGTAGTCGGGTAAGTTGGGGAGGCTTGCACCAGGCACTAAGTCAATCCGATGCTGAATATCGCTCAATGGAGATAGACCCTTTGAGAACTCATTAGGGGTTACATCAGCAAATTTATAAAGTATGTCTTTCACACCTTTGGGTACATTGTGCTACTCTCCTCTTTGTTCTGTGGCTACCAATACATAAATTAAATCACCCTCTTTTGCTTTCATAAAATCTTTAAAAGATAACAAATTTACATTTGTCCTTGAGAATTTGACGTGTAGGAGAATCTCATAAGGGCCAAAGACATATCTTGATGCCATCTTTAACAAATGAGCAAGTATTTCATCGGCCATCATGCATTGTACCATAGCCATATTGCCATAGCCTTCCTAGAGTGACAAGGCATGCTTAGGGAGAACATCGCACCAGATTTCATCCTGGTATTGCTTCCCTATGCTGAATTTAAGCAGTACCTTCTATCAAGTGGAACTTTACCCCCTCTTTTAAACCACCAATCTTATAAGACTGTGAGTTTTATTGCAATATAAGGTAAATTACAACTGCATTAGTTAGGAGAGAGGGAAAAACAATGAAGGTATCTCTCAACCTTTAGTGGAAATTACTTACCACTTAGAGAGGAATCGCTCACTCTCAAATAGGACTTCAGGCAAGCCTCAACTCTAAGCTACTGGAATGGTCCCTTTTGGGGGTATTTATAGACTAATTTGGGTAGTCCAAACGTTGATAAATCTTGGCCATTAAGTCATAAAGATATTTTCTTGGATCTTTCTAAAGAAGCTTCCGAGAAAATTCTTGGATAATAATTTAACTTTGTTCTAGGGTTCTTTGGAACCTTCCAGGCTCCTTCTTCTTGATTTAGGGATGCATCAATCACCCCTCCTTCAAAAGAACTCGTCCTCGAGTAATCGACCATGGACCTCCATATTTCCAAATCTACTTCCTTCAATTGCTCTTCAGTTAGCCAAGTATCTCTTAGTCGTCGTGCTTTAGAATATATCAAGGAGGGAGAAGGCTACAGGACGGACCAGCACGATTGGTTGTCTTGCTCTTAATAGCTGCCAATATGTTGTCTTAGGGGCAGGACCGAGATTGGCCCGAGCACCGCACAAGTTTTTGTATCTAGGCCCAAGCCCAATGCGGGCTCAACCTTTTTAAGCCAAGCCTGTCCTGCGGGCCAAATAGGACTGCATGAGTTAGGCCTGAAATGGGGTCCAACCCAAAAGTCTGTGGGCTGGTTTGGCCCAATTGCCAGTGCTAACTATGGAACACTAGCTAGTTCAACTCCTTTCCACTAGCCAATTTCAAAAAAACTAGTTAAGCCTTGATAGAGTCGACTTACTTGAGGACCAGGCAATGTTTCAAAAAGCGCTAGGCGGGTCCTAGGCGACCTGGGAGGTCCAGGTCGCCCAGCGCCTAGGTGGGCGCCCAGAACCTGGGCGGCCCAGTTGAATCCAAAAATGATTTTGCAGTTATGTCAGTATCAGTTATATGTATTGCAGTACATAATTCAAATTATACTACATATTAGTATTTAGTACACACTCCATAAGCATAACCATAATCCATAAGTCAGTTTATACTCCATATCCAATTAAAACTTAAAATTTTCCAACCAACCAAATTATCAAACCAAGTTACATAATAGTATCAAACCAGTACTACAGTACACCACCACGATGAAGAAAACAAAATTAAATTATGAAACTATGAAAGTAATACTTGAAGACTCAAAAGAATCTTCAATAGTTCAATAATTATTCAACATTTATCATTCATTCATCATCAAAAAATCTTGGGTCAGCTGCATTGGCATCATATTCATTGGAGTCGTCACCCTCCTCGACATATTGGTCATCCTTGTCCTCCTCCATCTCTTCTGAATCAGTCTCTTCTTCCTCCTCTTCCTCCACCCTTGTTCTCTGTACAGAAGATCTAGTGGCCCTATGAGGGTCAGCTGATGTCCCTGAAGCATCCATAACCATGTCCCATGTCAATCCTTCATGCCCCTCGACCTCATCATCATCAACTAACCACTTCATAGCATGGTTCATATTTTTTATCTGATGGAGTCTCTCTTAGCAAACCTATCCTTCAAGAATTGATCGTACTTGCATAGACTAGGTCATTGAGCCTCTTTGATTCAAGCATGTTCCTTTTCTTTGTATGAATCTAACAAAATCAAATGAAACTATTTAAAATCTAATATCTATGGTTCATGTATTATTTATAAAATTATATAAATTACCCTTAGTTACGGCCTTACCCCTTCAAAAGTACTCCAATTGTGCTCACAACCGGATGAAGAAGTAGTTAGGTTTAAGATCCGAATGCCCAACTTTTGTAATTTGGAGAACTTCACCCATGTTGGCTCCACCCATGGGCTGCAAAGATATAGAAAAAAATCATAAATAAATAATAAAATTACTTGATTACTTGAACTTGATGAACTTAAGAATATTATTAATACCTGGATTAATTTTGGTCGTTTGCCTCATCGCCATTGGACTCCCAAAAGACTTTAATGAGCACTTGTAATTTATCAGCTCATTAGCACATATAATTTCTTGCATATCAAGATCAGGAACTAGCACATCTACACACTCATTAAATCCATTCATAATTGTGTCATTGTTTGAATATCCTTGTCAATATAAAAAAAAAGCTGGGTTCAAATAATAACCAGCTGCATGCAATGGTCGATGTAGCTGCCTATCCCACTTCTCATCAATAATATCCTAAACAAGCTTTTAGCAGGTTTTGTCATCATTTAAATTTTGGGCTATCTCTCTTTTGCATTTCTCCATAGCATCAGATATGTAGCCCATAGAAGGCTTGTCACTATCAACCATGCGAAGGACTTTGATAAGAGGACAAAATACCTTAACAGCGCCCTACACCCCTCTCCAAAAAGCCTTAGAAAGAATAATATCTCACACATTCTTCCCAACCTGATCTTTAAACCATTTGCATGCTCTCCAGTCATCCGAGGTAAACATTTACCTCAATTGCACTCTTCTCGAATGTATGCTATCTAGGCATAAGTACCAGGTCGCAAATCTCGTGACCCCAAGCTTCACAATCTCTTTCTTGTTTGTAAAGGTAGGCATCATGCTGAGGGTGAGAAGGTGGCTATAAATGAAATTTGTAACTAACTTGGCCTTCTTCACCACACCTGACATCTCGGTTAAACCATCAAGAGCCTCAAGCATGAGGTCTATACAATGTGCTACACATGGTGTCCAAAAGATTCTAGGATAAGCTTGGCGCAACAAATTAGATGCAGCAACCATAGAAGCAGCATTGTCTGTGACAACCTGCATAACCAGATGCTCCCCAACCTCCTTGATTCCCTTCTTTATCACTTGAAATATGTAATGGGCATCATGGATATGGTCAGAGGCATCAATAGACCTCAAAAAAACAGTCCCTACAGGACAATTCACAAGCAAATTCATCTAACTTCTTCTTTTCCTATCACTCCAAGCATTAGTCATAATAGAAACCCTCTACTGAGCCCCTGCATCCTTCTTAAGTTCTACAGCTTCCTTCGTGACACTTTCCTTTTTTAAAAAAAGCTCTGAAAGCTCATATGGCGTTAGGGTTCCATCCCAGGGCCAAATTGGCCAATTGCCTCGACCGCAGCATAGAAACTACTTAAGCGAGCGATATTGAAAGGAATGCCCACCTCATAAAACCATATAGCAAGATAATACACAGCTCTATCTCTCTCTTCCTTCTTGATTCTTTTTTCATTTTTACCATGTTCAAAAAATTGTTTATTTCCTCTTTAACAGCATCAAAAGTCTTTTTACATGGGGCAACATCCCCCCTGATACCGACAAGAAGTGTCTTGAACTGGTTTATGCCACCCTTTTGTATCGTTATCACAAACTTGCATCTTATGCAATTTTTATCATTAGGATCTGAGTTATAGCCATATTTCCAACTGAGATCACCACTCCTATTAGATCTCGAAGAAGACATCTAAAAAATAATGCAATTTACTACAGCAATAAAAAAAATCACTTACTTTGAGTTTGATTGCTCAATCTTCAAACTTTCACCTCAACATGCTTTTAAATGCTCAAAATCTTCTAAAAAAACCCCTAATAACTTTGCAAAACGACAAAAAGTAAATCTAAGATCAATGGGTGATGTTTTGATCAATTTTTGTTAACTTTGAGAAACTCTTCGATCCTAAAAAATTCATCAAAAACTAGTTTTTTAGGGGCTTTCTCTCTCTAATATTGGCTCCAATAAGTTTTAGGTTTCAAATGAACCTAAAACACTAATGGTTGGCTCTTTAATAAAAAAAAAATGACCAAAATTGCCCCCATCGAAACTTATTTCTGCCCCTGTGCGAGGCGTAGGGCCTTGGAACCCGCCCAAGGCTGGGGCCTTGGAACCCGCCCAAGGCTGGGCAAAGGCACTGGGCGCCCACCTAGGCGAGTTCCGTACCACCTAGGCGGTCACCCAGGGTCGACCGCCCAGATTGGCCGTATCGCCCAGGCCTTTCGGACCGCCTAGGCGCTGAGCGGTCTACTTTTTGAATCACTGGAACCAGGTCAAGTTTCATGCAAAGACAGAGTTTTAAACTTCAAAATTCCTCAAATTCAAGAATCAGAAGAGTCGCACATGAAACAATTGGAGGATGCCACCTCATGGGGTTCAAGTCCTACCAAGCTCCAAGAATAGCGCAAGGTTCCATTATTTTCAGTTTGGAAGCTATGATAGCTATAGTCATAGTTCCTACTCTTCCCAATAGTTGAAATCACTCTAAAAATCAAACTAACACGTGTAAGAAAGACTCCACGCGAACATAACACTTATCACTAGGCAAAACAAGCAAATAACTTTTGCACCCTCAATCACAAATTCAGTTTAATTCAAGGTTTAAAAAATCGGCAACCCCCACACTTGGGAACTGCCCACGTAGTCCAGAACTGGGAGTTGACTAGTCTGAGTGCCTTCGGAAATTGGACTTAGACTGGTTACGTTTATCTGAGATACTTTTTTCGCTTTTTTTTTTTTCTGAAATATTCTTCAAATCCCTCACATTAAAATCGTTTTTGATCAATTTTGTCACAAATATATCTTCTCCTAGCCCCCATTCATATCTACAAACAAAATTTTTGGATCAAAACCAGTCTTTGACTTTAAAAAATAAAAAATAAATGGCCATGTCAGAATGGGCCTGATTCTGTCAACCTGAAATCTTGTTTTATTAATTAATATTTCGGTAGTTCACCAAATTGATGCAAATTGTTCACAAAATATTACTGTCATAGATCTTTAATTGCCCTATATGTGCAGATGAAATAACAGATATATGGGTTCAAACTTTGATCTTCAAACTAGAATTTGTGCGAAATTTTTGAAGAAAAATGATTGAATCTCGATGATGTAAAAAAATCTCAAATTTTTCGAAGAAAAATGATTGAATCAAAGCAGGTTGCAACAATATGATTTAAATTGATTTAACCAAAGATGTATTACAGGATTGAACACATCTTTCTCAACATCTTTCCTCAAAATAATATTCTCATCATTGTTTTTCAATTATTGAATCTGTTGAAAAACAATAATTTTTTCAATCCTTTTTCAACCAATTCTGTTGATTGAAATGCATAATTTGTTTTTTGATCTTTTTCATTATCATTTTTCAGTCTATTGATTAAAAATGATCACTTTCCTTCTATTTTTTTCTTTTTTTCTTTTTTCCTTTTTTTTTTTTTGGGTTTTTCAATTGGTAGTCAGCCTATCCAAATCAGAATTATTAGTGACTGGTTCAACCACCAGTCCGATCTTTTAAACACTGATTTAATCCAAGAAAATATATCAACAAAACGTGCACCTCTGAAATCTTGAAAAGCCTCAAACCCATCAAATTAAAAACCCCAAAACTATATAAACAAAAATGCAGAACAGATTAAAGCTTGAAAACTTCATCAAGGAGAAAAGGGTCACAGAGTAAGAGTTCAACAAATACAAATCATACTCCCAGAACATTTAGAAAAGCATTCAGATTAACAGGGAGGTAACATCAAACTCTAGAAATTAAGCAGATTCAAAGAGTTCCTGAAGTAAACAGAGGAGATTCATATGAAGTCATAATAGAAGCTAAGGTCTCTTTTCATTTTAGTCAGCATAATTGGATACACTAAACCATCGAAGCGCCATGGGTACATCATGCACGACGATACATCATGGAGAAGACACATAACTGATAGTGAAGATACCATATAGAGAGAGAGTCAAATAATGAGTTTGTTTGTCCAATAATCTAAAACACTATAGAGCTAACAATTACAATTAACCCATTTTGCATCAAAATACATTACATCACTAAAAAACTAACCCATTTTGCATCAAAATGCATTACATCACTAAAATGGGCGCTTACAAAATTTATCGCAGAAACCCAACAAGACAGCAAAATGGAGAAAAACCCCCTAAATTATCATGAAAAAAGAACAGAGAAAGCCTTACCAAACGCTCAGAGAAGTTGTCCATTAACACCTTGAAGAAGTAAGAGCTCTTGTTGGGCATCTTATGCCCATGCTTCCTGTAGCACTCTTCCATGCATTGTTCACAAGCTTGCCTACCCCCCCACATTCTCTGTTCTCTACCACTACCCACTAAGAGAGAGAAAATGAGAGCTTTACTGCTACAGGAAGCTCTGCAATTCTCTCTCTACTCTGAGACAATAAAAATTTGGCCTAATTTCCTCGCACCAGTTTGTTGCGGCCACGAAAAGTACCACTGTTTACTGTGCATGGAGCACCACGCGGGATCCATGTGATCATTTTGAGATGCTTTTACCTTCTTAATTTGTTTTTTTGTCTTTTTTCTTTTTCCCTTCTTTGGAATCTGACAATTCATTTAAATTTTTAGGATTCCGAGCTTTTTATTAGAAGTAGATAAGTTTTTAAAGGGCATAGGATTTATGAAAACAAAATAAAGCCTCACCTCGATTCCTCATCCTAGAAGCACTTTTGGCATCGAAAATTTTTAAAATGGTTATAAAATTAAATTTTAATAGTGGCAATAAAATTTAAAACTCAGAAAATAGTACAAATCTTGAGGATATGTGAGCACTTATGTTTAAAGCGAAATAGATGGTCTAGATGATTTATAGTAATATACATTATTTTTAAATTTTTAAAATTCTAATTTTTGCACAACCATAGTGCTCAAGCTGAGATGATCGATTTAAAGGGTTTTCAACACTTGAATTACAATTTTTGATGAGTTATAAGGTAAGACTTTATTTATTTTAATAGAGCTGCAGCCCTATCAAACCATTTTTCTTAGAATTATCATCTTAAACAGGATTGGGACTTGGGACTTGGATTATTGGGATCCAATATTGGAGGGAAGACACTATAATTTGTCTAACTAGTCTTTCACATAGATTCTTAAAGGATTGCAAGGGCAAAATTTGCTCCTTTTATTATCAATGAAGGAATTCAAGGGGTGGCAACTGGACAGCCCAAGCCTAAGCACAAGCTGGTCGTGATCGAGCCAAAAGGGCCTAGCTCAAGCCCAATCCTAGCTTATCCAGGCCGGGCAAGGGGCAACCTGCTACGTCCCTATCCACCATAGAAGCATAATACAGATCTAAAGTAATAGTTGCCTATGAATTAACATGATTAGCACTTTTATTGAAGAATTTGCACTAGCTAGGAGAACAACTAGTGCCACTTTTTTGTGACAACCTATCATTCATTCGATTGGTTGAGAACCCAATCTTCCATGCAATGACTAAGCATATTAACGTATATCTTCATTACATATGAGAAGAAGTCATAGGCCAATAACTCATATTAGCACTAATCAGGACAGAAAAACAAGTTGCCAATATATTTATGAAAAGATTTACTATCACAAGATTTGTTTATTACAAAGAAAAATTTGGAATGATCAAAAGATCATCAATCAAAATAAGCTAGCGTTGAGAGAAAGAATTGTAAAAACAACATGTAAGCTTACTAGTCTTTTCTTTACTCTTTCTTCCTACATTCTATTTCTCTCTCTAGATAAAATCCTACCATGTTACTTGGTACAAAAGGGGTCCACATAAGCCCACCATGTTACTTGGTACAAAAGGGGGCCACATGGATGAAGAAATTTAGAGGAGCCAGTATTTCTTGTAGATCTCACCACGCCCTTAGAGATGGCTGTGGGCTTCTATTTATAATAGATGTGTATTCAACATATTGGACAAGAATCCTTGATTCACTCAATCAAGGATTATGTTACATCAATCTTTACAAATATGGAGAGAATATAATACAATCAAATATATATTTTTTAGATCATTTCCAACACTCCCCCTTAAATTGTTGTCATTATGAAACATGGACAAACTGTTTGCTAATGCATGATATTTACAGGTAAGAAGGCTTTTGTTAAGATGTCAGCAAGTTATTATGTAGTTAAAACACAATTAGGAATTATATCTCTACTTCCAACCTTTTTTCAAATAAAATGATAATCCCACTCAATGTGTGTAGTTCATGCATTGAAAGCGAGCTTTATTGTACTTTGATTATCTCAACAAGGAATTACATGTTGAATGTTGATACCCAATTTTGACATAATGGTGAAAATACCAAGTGATATCAATAGTCTCCATTACTCGATATTCTACTTCTAGGCTTGAGCGTGATACAATCCTTCGTTTTTTTTCCATGACACTAGAGACCAGGCAAAAAAAATATAAAATTCTGATATTGACATTCCCGTATCTGAATCTCCAGCTCAGTCAGCATCAGAATAGGCGACGAGATTAACATGTTTTCGGCCAATAAGAAAAAAACAATCACTCAGGGTACCCCTCCCTTATCAGAGAATTGAAAGAAAGAATAATGTGATATTGTCGGGGAATATATTTTTTTATTTTTCTTCTCTTCACCCCTTTTTTTTTCTTTTCTTTTTCTGGTGGCAAAGATCACTTATAAATAGCCATATTACAATAACTATTGCTTCACATAAAATAAAACTAACAAATCCAAGATTTTAAAAACCTTGATGTCATTAAACCAATTTTCTTTAAATAAAGAAAATATCCACAAAAAGAGAGTACCGGAGATTAAACAAAAAGAGAGTACCGGAGATTACCTCAACCGAGTTTATTACACCCCACACAAAATCACCAACATCAGATGGTGTAGGATCAATAATCAACCTTCAATCTCAACTGGGAAAGCAACTTTATAACAAGCCACACCAATAGAACATGAACCATTTGGTCACAAACTTAAACCCTAGGTGAATTCCCTTAGCAACCTAGTTTGAGAGAGATATTCTCTTTTTGCTACACCCTAAAACCCTTAGCCATAAATCTATAGTTGAGAGATGAGAGAGAGAAGAACTCCATAACCTAAACCCTTAGCCTATTTCACAATGTGGGAAAGAGAGATATCTCAAAGATGAGAGAATGGGTTGTGTTAATTTAGAGAAGATGCAGAGTCTAGAGAGATAAACTATCTTGATCAATTCTCATTAACAATGAATGAAATCCTAAAAGGGTTTATATACAAATACATATTTAATGTAAATCACGCTATCCCTACACAAATATACAATGACAATAACGAACAACTAAAATTATGCATATTATTTTTGTATGTATATTATTACCCCCCTTCAAGCCGATGCAGACATGAGGAAAGCATTAGCTTGTCCACTAAAAAATCATGGCGGCTCCGAGTAACAGATTTGGTGAAAATATCAGTTGTTTACACAGTAGAAGAAACATAAGGAAGAGATAATGTACCATCAAGATAGCGATCACAAACATAATGACAATCTACGGTAATATGCTTTATGCGTTCATGAAAAACTGGGTTAGATGCAATCTTAATTACACTCTGGTTATTTGCATATAAAGGTGTGGGATTTGAAGTAGAGATACCAAACTCATTGAGAAGAGCACGAACCCAAACAATCTCACTAGCAATAGAAGACATAGCACGATACTCAGCTTCAGTGCTTGACTTGGAAACAGTATTCTTTTCTTGCTCTTCTATGATATTAATGATGACCCAAGAAACACACAGTATCCTGTAGCAAAATGACAAGTGTCTGGATCGCCTGCCCAATCTGCATCTGCATATGCACTGAGATCTAAAGAGGATGTGGCGTCAAAGAATAAACCACGAATGGAAGTACCTCGAACATAGCGTAAAATTCGATAACTGCTAATAGATGTGGTCGTCGAGGATCTGAAACAAATTGATTCACAACATGGATAGCATATGCAATATCTAGACAAGTCATAGTAAGATAGATGAGGGAGCCGACGAGTTTGCGATACAACGTAGGCTCAAGAAGAGGATATCTAACATATGCAGAAAGTTTAACATTGAGTTCCATGGGTGTATCAACAACCTTCACATCATTCAAATGGGCAGTTGAAACAAGATCAAGTGCATACCTATGTTGATAGATGTAAATACCATGTTTAGAGTAAGAGATCTCAAGGACAAGAAAATAAGATACTTCCCCAAGAACCTTCATTTGAAATTCTTCTTACAATCGTAGCTTCACATCCTTGATAGAAGTGAAATCATTGCCAGAAATAAGAATATCATCAAAATATAATAAAATAATACAAATTCCATGTTGTGTGGTACGAATAAATATAGAGTGATCATATTTACTTTGAATGAAGCTAGTGGCAATAATGACAGCCTGAAAACGTTCAAACCATGCACTGGGAGCTTGATTGAAATCGTAAATTGCTTTACGAAGTCGACAAACCAATGACTTATCTTGAGAAACAAACCTAGGTAGTTGACGCGTATAAACTTCTTCTTGAAGTTCACCATTAAGGAATACATTTTTTACATCCATCTACCATATGGGCCACTCACGAATAGACGCGAGTGCAATAAAAGTACGAATAGTTGTTATCTTAGCAACTGGAGCAAAATTTTCTTCATAATCGTTGTCATGCTCTTGGGCATAACCCTGAGCTACTAATCGGGCTTTATGCCGATCAAGAGTGTCATCAGCTCGTAACTTGACTTTATAAACCAATTTACTACTAATGGGATGCTTTTCTAAGGGCAATGGGACCAAATCCCAAGTGTGATTTACCTTTAAAGCTACAATTTCCTCATTCATAGCTATACGCCAGCATTCGAAGTTAGATGCTTGAGACTAAGAAGATGTTTCATGAAACAATGGATTATTGATGGTTGCAGGAGAACAAGTATGATATGGGTTAACTACTAGTAAGTTAAGACAATCAGGTGAAATGGGCTTTTGAAGTGATTGCCGAAGTTGAACAAGACCGGTAGAAGGATCAACAATTGGAGGTGATGCATGATCAGCACTTGACAAGGATGGCTCATCATAGGTAGTTACTTAATGTGATAATCCCTAATTTTCATAATAATGAGAAGGAGGAATCGAAACTAGGAAAAAAGGAAAACTCATGCGCATGTGTAGTTAAGTTAGGGTGTGGGCAATGCTGCTAAAAGGGTATGTGCTTAAAAAATGTAACATGTCAAGATATCCTAATACGATTAATGGAATGATCAAAACAACAATATCCTTTTTAAATTGTTGATTAACCTACAAACATGCATTTGACAAACTTAGGTGAGAGTTTATCATGGATAGAAAATGGTAAAAGTACAAAGCATGTGCACCCGAACACACGTAAATGTGAGCAATCAGTGGGATTTTAAAAAAAAGATTTGAAATGGTGACACATTTTGCAAAATTGATGTACGAAGAAGATTAACAAGATAGACAACAGTACACATCACTTCAGCCCAAATGTTCTTTGGAAAATGAGAGTTAATAAGAAGAGAACGAGTGGTTTCAAGAATATGACGATGTTTTCTTTCAACAATTCCATTATGTTCCGGGGTATGAGGACATGAACGTTGATGAATAATGTCATTTGTATGAAGATACGCTTGAAATTCATTAAATAGATTCTTCCCCCCAAAATCAGACCTAAAAACTTTAATATTTTTCTCAAATGGATTTTTTATCATATTATAGAAGTCTTTAAAAACACTAAACACACTTGGCTTGTGTTTGAGAAAATAAATCCAAGTACATTTAGAAAAATCATTAATAAATATCACATAATAAGAAAATCCATTAATTGAAGGAACAGGAGCAGGGCCCCAAACATCAGAGTGCACTAAAGCGAAATCCACGATACTTCTATTATTGCTATGAGGAAAAGGTTGAGCCAAATGTTTTGCCAACTTGCAACTCTCACAAACAATATTCTTATTAAATTTTCTGTGAGAGAAAACGGTAGGTAAAAGCCCAGAGTTTAAAAGAGAAAGCATTTTTTGAGAATGTGAGTGTCCTAACCTACAATGCCAAATATACTAAAGAGAATTTGATTGATTTATTTCATGAGGAGAAGAGGAAAGCTGACAAACTAGCAGAGCTTGTGACATATGAGAAGGAGCTTCAATGAAACTAACTGTGAAAAGCTGACCCTGCTTACCTTCCAATCACTTTCCCTGTTGCTAGATTTTGCACCACACAACCTTTATTAAAAAAAGAAACAAGACACTTGTTATCAACTAACTAGTCAACAAATATTAAATTCAAAAGAAGATTGGGACTATGATGAACATATTTTAATGCTAAGAAGTTACCAGATGGATCAGGGACATTGGTATTACCAGAGTGGGTAACACGAAGTGGAGACCCATTAGCAGTAAAATAAGTCATATTTTCATAATGAGGTTTTACTAAGGTAAATGTGAAAGTTGTCATGTCAAATGATTTGATACCCCTGAATCTATGATCCAAGTGTTTGAGAACGGATTTGAGTTACCTGAAAAACCCATGGCAACCAAAACCTGAGCAACTTGTTGAAGTGTAGTTGAGACAATAGAGCCAAGATCTGGCATGGATACAGGGGTAACAGATGTGGAGGCACAATGAGAGTGACTGGAAGTGGCATCTTCCAAGCTGAGGGGACTAGGAATTGAGGCAATTGCAGCCCCCATTGAGTCTAACTAAGTACAGGAGGCTTCCCACGTGCCTGATTTTGTTTTTGACAATCACTTATTACATGCCCGAACTTTTTACAATAATTACAAAAACTGTGCTTCTTGCACCGATCGGCCATGTAGCCTCTTTGTTTGCATATGTAACATTGCACTTGGGCATAATTAGTATATTTGTTAGGGAAATTGGACATGACTAATGCCACATCAGTGGCATCTTGTGATGTAGGTTTGAAAACTCCAACAGAGCTTAAGCGAGTTTCTTCAGCAATGAGATCTGAGAAGCAATCATCTAATGGTGGAATGGGAGTACGATGAAGGATTTGTGCTCTCATGTTTTCAAACTTCGATTACAACCCAATAAAAAGTGAAATAAACGAGACCGATTTCGTGCTTTAGTAACAGCTTCAGTGGGTGGCTCTATCTCCATTGAGTTCACCTCATTCCATATACCTGAAAGAGTATTAAAATAATCTTGAATTGATGAGTCCCCTTGTTGTGTCTTCATGCTCTCCTATTCTAGGGTATACAGACAGACAGTATTGGCTTGAGAATAAATCTTCTGTAAATAATCCCACATTGCTTTGGCACTAGATTGATACGTGAGGTTGCGCCCAATTTTGGGCTCCACTGAGTTCATAATCCATGTCACAATAGAACTATCGATGGCAAGCCAATCACTACGCTCATTCTCATCCTTAGGCTAGGAAACAGAACCATTAATATAGCCCCATAGCTTCCATCCCATGAGAAAATGTCTCATTTGGAAAGACCACAAGCAATAGTTCTTCCCATCAAGGCGCACAGAAATTATAGCACTCTCGGTATTAGTCTTTGATTCCATGATAATAAGAGGTATGACTTACACGAAGTACACGGGGATGCAAGAGTATAGAAGAACTCAAAAGCAAAGATATTAAAACACCAAAACAACTCCAACTAGATGGGGTAAATATCGGCCAAGATTTTATTTTATTTTATTTTATTTTATTTTCAGCAATCAATATCTCCTAGCTTTGAATAGTGGATTGAAACCAATATTTTTAGTGAGCCAACGACTCTCCAAAAGTAGACGATGTAAATCGAAAGAGAAATATGAAGTCAAAAAAACAAGGCGAGAGAACAATCTCTCACTCTCTCTCTCTCTCTTTATGAGACCACCAGATAACATAGATATTTCTCAACCAGACGGATCTAGCATGTCAAGCACAGTCTAGTATCGACAAACATCTTTTGCTTAGTATGTTACACAGGGGACCACACTCCCACTAAGTTGATGTTCCACCATATCATTTCATTTTATAAGCACTCATAAAATCTTCAAGGGCCACACTCACCCAACAAGAATCTCCTTTGAGGTGCATCTCATGAGGATCATGCATAAATTGACATATTTGATTGATGGAATATATAATATCTGGTCAAGTGAATTTGAGGTACTACAAACCACCAACAAAACTTTTATATTTTTTTGGATCTTGAATAGGATCATCATCTCTAGCATATAGTTTTTGTATTGTGACCATTGGTGTTGGTGATGGTTTGTTGTCACTCATCCTAAATTTTCTTAACATATCCCATGCACATGTGTGTGGTGTCAATTTCATTCCCTATCTTGTGCACGTAACAGATCTAATGCATACTTTGGTTCTATATGCTTATTGAATTTAGAGAGAAAATGAATATTGTTTAGAGGAATGATGCCCAATCATCTATCTAAAAGAATATGGGTGGCAGAACATCTCAAGAGGACTGACATGGTTGATTATAAAGATTGGAGTATTTGATGTTCTTTCTATTGAGGAATTAATATCTTCACCATTACTCAATATTTGATTAGTAGCTCCATCTACCAAGGAGTTTGAACCACACTAAAGCAATATTTGAGATTTGGCAGATGACATGTTTTATGCAAGCGATGTGATAAGAAAAGGTAAAGGCCGTGGGCTATCCCTCTTTTAAATTTTCTTTGCCATTTTAGAATCAGTCCCTCATCAAAAACAGTTATATTCCAATAGAAGAAGAGTAGCATCGATATCCTTTATTCTTGTCACTATACTAAACAAACACATATTATTCATCCTTTATATAGAGTTTTTATCTTAAGGAAGTATCAATATGAATATGACACACATAATTATGCTTGTCACTATACTAAACAAATACATATTATTCTGCCTTTGTAGAGAGTTTCTCTCTTAAGGATGTATCAATATGAACATGACACATGTAACCAAAAGCACACAAAACCGAATAATTAGGCACTTGTCTAGTAATCATTTGTGATGGGGACATGTTGTTTGGACTGGTAGAGGTTTGTAATCAATTAATAACAAACACAGTTGTATTAAAAGCTTCACTCCCAAAATGCATCAGTAGTTCACTATATAGTATACGGACAACCACAATTCACAGATGTTTTATTTTGCTCTACCACACCAATCTGGGCAACTATATGAGGACAGGAAAATTGTTGTTTAATACTATGAGAAGTGTAACAAGATAAAAAGGTACATGAAACAAATTCACTATCATAATCACTACCAAGGAATTTAATTCGCAATTGAGAATAGTTTTCAGTGAATTCTTTGAAGGATTAAAAACGTTGAAGGGCTTCATATTTAAATTTTACAAAATATATTCATATAAAGAGAGTGAAACCATCAACAAAACTAATATAATAACGTGAGCCAGAGAGAGAGAGACAAGACCAGAAGGTCCCCATAAATCAGTACGAATGCGAGAAGTACATTTACTTGCATTATAAAAAGGTAATTGATGATTTTTCAAGTAAACAAACATCGCAAACAATGTCAGTTGACATTTTATCACACAAGGAGGGTAAAACCTTAAGTTTATTCAAGTGGTCAACTATAGCATAGCTAGTGTGAGCTAACCGATGTTGTCATAGTTCTGCAAAGACATTATAACTACTTGTAGAGGCTAAGACAGTAATGAACAAAGCATGAATCTCATCGCTTCCAAGAAAATAGAGGTTTTCATGATTTTCAGCTTTAGCAAGGAGCTTCTTGGACCAAATATCAATCACTAAAAGAGCAGTGGGTGTAAATAAGAATGAATAATTGAATAGATCAATGAATTGAGATACAAAGAGGACTTATTTTTTGAAATTTAGGAGCAAAAAACACATTAGGAACTTTTAAGGAACCTATGTATGAAGCAACAAAAGAAGTATTAATATGTGTGATAGGAACTTAGGAAAATCATCTATAATGATATGACAACAACTGTTATAGAGAATAAACAAGAATACCTGAATCATCGACCACATGATTTGTGGCTCAGGTGTCCACAATCACACCTACCTTAGAGGGTATAATGAGTGATATAGGATCAAAGGAGTGAGTCAAAGCATTAGGGTTGTCTTGAGAGTCCTGTCAAGAGTACTGATAATAGCACTAAGGAGAGATATTTTTTGTGACCACGTATTTGACAAAATTCAGCACCAATCTTATTAATGGGATGGGTTGGTGGTCCTGGTAAAAGTCCTCGCCCTCGAACACCTCTAGGATTGCCACGACCAAATAAGGTGCTAGACCACCTTGGCCTGTAGGACCGCAATGACCTTATCATCTTCCTCTTCTATGACCTCGTCCTTTTCCTCTTCCTCTTCTATGACCTCGTCCTTTTCCTCTTCCTCTTGACGTTTGAGATGACGTATAGAGAAACTCGTGTGGGTCTTAATGTAGTGGCTGAGTCATTATTTCCCAAATGTGAAAGATTGAACAATAACTCATGTTAAAAACAGAGAGGGCGAAGAGCTGTAGATGATGGTAGAGCTGATCGAGCCATAACTAGAGCGACAAATATTTTGTATTCCTCACCAATCTCATGTAAAAGGTAGCAGACTTTTTTCTTTATCATCCACAAGCTGTTGTATAATTACCAATTAATCAAAAAGGAATTTCATCATATTCAAATAGTCTTGAATAGATTTATGCCCCATGTATTGAAGTTCGGTTTGAAGGTCCATTAGTTGCACCTCAAATTTGTTGTGCATAGGAATTGTAATGGTAGACTACAGATCTTGGGGAGTAGAGATGTCAAGTACTTGTACCAGAGTTTCAAGTGATAGCATAGAGTTGATCCACGCTATGATGAGTTGATCGCATATCAGTTTTCATGTTCTAGGTTAGAAGAATCTTTATTTAAGAGAAGAAACTTAGAGGGCTCTAGTGTAGAGCCCTCAAAGTGTCCCATAATTCCTTGGCTTCTAACATTAGGAATAATTTGACCTTTCCCTAGTAGAAAATTGTCATCAAAGAGTTTGACAATGACAAGATGAGGAAGAAGGTTTAGAAAGTGCATAGAATAAGACATTTTTTGAAGGAAATAGATAGAGAAAGCCGATTGAGAGAGTTTTATGAACGATGTGAGATTTTATTTTATTTTAGTTTTAGAGAGAAAGAGAGATCTGATCTTAGAGATAGAAAAGTAGGAGTTGAGAAATTTCTTTTTGACATGTAGAGTAGATATAGGGCCTTTGAGAAGAGGAGTGAAAGGAGAGATTTGGTTCCTAGAATAGACATGGAGAAAAAAAATTCAGGACAGAGAAAGTGTGACTTTATTCGCCTAATGAGATAGGACTGTGGGCTTAATGTTAGAGAGAGAGAGAGATTGTGACTTGGTGTAAGGAAAATTTTTTACTTACCCTTTTTTTTTCTAGTGTAAGAGAAAAAGAAGGGAGATGTAAGAGAGGAAAAAGAAAATATAAAATGCTTTTATTGGGTCTTGGGCCAGACTTTGTCTTGGGCCTTTTAGTAAGTGAAAAAAATAAAGAAGAGCAGAAGCGTCAAAAGAAACAAATAAGGTGCTAGTATTTTTTGTAGAGAGAGAGAGAGATAGATAGAGAGAGATTTAATGGAAAGAAATAAAAGAGTTGAGAACTTGGGTTAATGTAAAGAGATTGAATATACGACTTATCAGTAAATGTTGTATGAGAAATACAATGAGGCATGGGAGACTAGATGACTTTGAAA